GTAAAGAACTTATAATAAATAATAAGGCTTTGGCACTTGCTGTTGCTGAAGAATGGGAAATGCAGAAAGAACATATAAAAACAGATCCTATGCACTTGGTATAATAATGTAAAATATAATGGTTCAAATATGTTATATAATAATGTTTCTTTTTTTTTAGACAAAGTTATGTTTTTTGGCAGTTGACAATCCTAGTGATCTTTCAGAGCATGACGTGGTACAACAAATATTGTCTTACCTGGAGACTGACACAGTCTTCTTCATTTCTGATGTAATATACTGTTTATCATATTGAGTTATTGTTTATTATTTTAAAATTTAAACTGCTTGAATAGGCGGATAACGAGCTAGAAAAATTATTGATGGAAAAATGGATGCCACTAATTCAGAAGTTTAATGGATATTTTGACACCAATTTAAAACCATCCAAAGGCATTTATGTTGAAAGTCTTGATGCACAGACTAAGGCATTAGTTGAAAAATATTTTTTATCACTCGGATTCCCCGCTCTTCATGGTTTGTATAGTATATACTATATTTTGTAGCAATGTAGCATCTATAATTTTTAGTAATAGATTATTTTCTTAATTTAAGGTGTTTTACATGCTGTTGAAACTTTAAAATCATTGGTACTTACTACATGTTGCTTACATCAAGATATTTCTGTAAAAGATGCTGTTCTATTATCTAAGATGGAAGAAGAATATCAGGTAACATTTTAGCATAAATTAAATTTATTTGCCAAAATTGTGTTTGGTTATAATATATTTTATTTTTTGTAAAATTATAGTGTACGAAATGGGGACGCGTGGATTGGATAAAAGATTATATAGACAACGATTCTGTTATCAGATTGTCAGCTGCTATGCTATTTATTTATTACACACTCAATCCTAAGTACAAACCATTAGCCAAGCAGGATAACTATCCTCAAATACAACAGTCTTTAAAACAATAAATAATAAGTCTTGTATTTTAATTTATTAAAAAATAGAGCATAATCTTATGATATTATATTATATTATATTATCTTTTTATTTGCCTGCAAGTAAAAAAAAAACAGTAAAAGCATTTATTATATAAGATTAATTGTAAAAGTGTGATTGTAACTTGTAAGTAATAACTTATAAAACAATATATTACTGTTCGAGTTTGTGGAAAAATATTGTTTGAATTACATTTTTAAGGTGATGTGTAGTTCTATCTAACGAATGCATAACTTACCTAATTTTACATTCAGAATAATTAATTTGCCACATTTTTAATATGAGGGTGAATTGACCTATTATGAGTTTAAATGTAAGAATATTACACAATGACTCCAGTAGGCTTTTTTTTTTGTAATTTTTTGTTGAAACAAGTTCTAGACTTTGAAAATATTCAAAAAAAAATTATTTAAATTGTTGATATTACCTTTTAGATTTTGAGGAATGTATTATTTTTACAGCATTTTGTGATTAAAAAAATGTATACAATTTTAATTTTCATACCTGACGCTTAAAAATTTTTTAAGAGGTCAACTTTTTTCTTATAGAAACATAAAAATCTAGCAATTACATTCACACAACTTCGTGACATTTTATTTTATAGATAGATAAGATCTAATTTTCAGTGTTGGGTAAGTTACTTTATAAGAAGTAATAAAGTTACTTTATCAGTTACTTAGAGATAAATGTAATTAAGTTACTTTACTCGTTACTCAAATAAAATTGTAATGAAATTACTTTACTTTTCAAATAGAAAAGTCACTCATTACTTTCTCGTCCCAAAAAAAAAAAATAATACATATTTTTTTTTTTTAAATTTCTTGGCAATTATCATTCTGCAGGCAATAATGTAACTTTTTATAGAAATACATTACCTATGGTAAAAATGTATAATTTGAAAAAGATATACAGTTAATACATATTTACATAACAACAGAAATAAATTACTAACGAGTTATGACTATTAAAAAATGGTACTAATTAATTGTAAGTACCTACAATATTAATTGATAAGTATCAATTTTAATTAATCATTATAGGTATAGTTAAGTATATAATGTATTTATGTCACAAACTCACAACATAAACCTTATAGTTATGTGAAAAATGGAAATAAAATTATAATATGGAACACAATAAGAACTTATAAAATTATAAAAATAAACCGTTTATAAATGCCAAATATGGCTATAATGATTTATAACAGTACAATGTAAATATTTTGATTTTAATTTTTAACTTAATAGTCCAAGCTAGGTATTCATAGGAAATGTTCTGCAAAGGTACCTATTTAGAGGATTGAAGTTAAATAATAAATTTAATTAACTGTTTTCGTGATTTACGGTGCAATTCGACATGTCAAATGTCAAAACCATTGAAAACTGATTTGTCGCGAGTTAAAATTAAATATACATACATATTAGATTGGTAAATATAATAATACGTGCATTATTGACAAATTTTTTTTTTCAATTCGCAATAGGTAGGTACGTACTATGTACTTAATAATTCGAAACTGTAATGCGTTATTCTATAGAAATTACTTATCAAAAGTAATTTCCATTACATTTTCGTTATATTGAAATAATTCTAATGAAATTACGTAACGCGTTACAAGCGAAGTAACGCCGTTACTTTCGTTACGTTACTACCCACCACTGCTAATTTTGGTGAAATAAGATATTAAACAAAGAATAACGAGTTATATTATTATAATTTAAAGAATATTATTTGTACAGATTTTTTTCCATTTTATATATAAACAGTGTCCCTTGAGGATTTTACCCATTGCAATATTTCCCGAGATAATAAATATATCTTTTTTTTTTTTTTTTTGAAATCATGTAGGCCACTGGCAAGCGGATGTCAAATCGACGTCGGCGTTCAACATGTTAAAAGTTTATTTTTTATTTAGACCCTTAAAATATCATAAAAAAATATTTAAAAATAAAATTAATTATATTTTACTCTGGGTATTAATTTAGAAGATTGTTACAGCCTCATAGATTACACCAAAATTATTACTTAAGTATCCTAATAATATGAGCTTATATGATCAGGATGACACTCAAGAATTTTACTTTGATAAGACGTAAACATGTTATTTTAGTGTACAAATTTTAAGCTAAGAGATTAAATCTAATAAAAATGGCTATTGGCAAATCCTATACCTATCTAATGGACTGAATAGTACCCATTATGTCTTTTGTCAATTTGCAAAAACTTCTTATCTAGGTGCGTTATTGCAAATTGTGTTTTATTAAAAATGCGAATTCTGTAAAGAATTAATGGTTCTACACCAGGTGAATTGCCAGATCATTTGATAGAAGCATGCTATAGGTTACTAACAAAAAAGTTTTATCGTTTTAATTAGAAATCAGAAAAGTTTTTTGTAATTAACCTTAATTTGATAGTTTACCTAATTAGATCTATTATTAAGGAAGAAAATATTATGACTCTTAACTAATTATTAAGTATAAATATTTTGTATTATTAACAAAAATGTCACAATTTATAAATATTTGACATAATCTAAAATAAATCTACCGAGTACTGAGTAAAATAAACCAACTACTGACTACTGTTTAGGTTACTGTTAAAATAATGGTAGGTACCTGCTAAATAAATGCCCTACTGTGTATAAATATTTGGAAAAAAAAAATTGTATTTTAATGTGTTGTCTCTCTTGCAAACTTACAAATTTTCCGACTAATCTATTTAACTAATATATTAGTGTGAAAGGTAAGAATATTATCTAGGTATACCTGTAGGTTTTTTTATAATTTAATTTTAAAGCAAGTTATGAGCATTTCAACTAACAGTAAAATAATTATTGTTTGCGGTAGTTTAATTATTCCCAAACCTAATACTTGTAATTGAAAAGTACTCAACCCAAGATTCCTTGATTAGTGGTACTATCCAGATGTATACATTGTCTTACTTTATGGTCTATACCTAAAGCCTAGTCAATAAATACAATAATAATAATCTAGGATCTCTATCTATTCCATGTTTTTTTTAAATATTTCTTTTGTCTCTACCTACATATTATTAAGAGAACAAATTCTAATCTCCGAATAGGCCACACAAGGCTGACTCACAAGTTCCTTATGGCCAAAGAGGAGTCCACTAAATGCATAGTCTGTGGGGTTACTCTAACATTTTAACATATAATAACATCAATTCATTATTCCACCCAACATGAACAAAGGACCAGGCATCGAAAACATATCAAATATATTAGCTTTTCTATGGAAGACCGACCTATATAATAAAATTTAAATTTTTTGTTAATGATAATTATAATATTAATATTAGTAGAAATTACAATAATGAACAAATTATTATTAATTGTACAATTTAAGGACCAAAAATCACTTATTATGTATTTAGCCCAAAATCTAATAACCTTTGCTGTTGATGTTTTTTTAAGTTCAATAAAAAAAAAAAAAAAAAACTTAAAATGTTTTCCAAATAGTTTTTATGACATTTTTAAGCTAAACCAAACGATCTTAAACTTAGATAATTAAAATTTTATTTTTTAATTACAGGTAATATTGAATTTTTGTCAATATTATAAGTTAAAAGCCAACCAATAGCCTATATCACTTCCTTATTTTTATAAATATATGTAATCGAACTAAAAACTAATTATACTGATATCTCTTAAAATGTATTAGCAGATTATCAATATAATTTATATAATATTAAACAAACCACATAATTATATAATAGATATATTATTATTATTGTTGTTGTTGTTGTTGTTGTTGGCATCATGAGAGAGGTTTAAATATTAAAATATTTCTAACAAATAAAAAGAAAAAGAAAAATACGTCAGACTCAAGTTACTTTATTATTATATTATTATTTAATCCCCTTCCCACCCAAGAAACACATAAAAGTCGAGAGATAAGTACATTGTCATTCGCTACTAACTAATATCAAATTGATATGATAATCAAAAGACATGTGATTTTTGTTTGAATAATAAACATTTTAAATGCTATTATATTATGGCTTGACAAGAGATGGAACACCAGGAGATACGTCAATAGGCATAACAGACTCCAAATTATTTTTCAACAATAATAACCAAGCAGCGATTGTCTGGTCTCTGGCGAGGCAATCAGAGAAAGTTGACATATCTTTTAATTGATCAGGTAAACATTGCCGAAGTGCTTCACGTGCTCTGTAAAAAAAAAAAATATTATTATTTATTTATTTATTTATTTATTTATTAGGTCATATTATGTTTTGTTACAAACACAAACCATTTTAAAACCTAAAGACTGAACATTATACTACTCATTCCATCTTCTTCACTGTCCAGAGCTTTATTATGTACTATAAGTGTTAGTAAATTCTCAATTTAATAGGATCTTATTTTGATGACAGACTTATATTATTGGACAGTAATTTATTCACTAATTCACACCTATAGACAAATATGTTTGGGATATAAATAAGCTAATCTTTTAAGATGTATATGTTACGGTGAAAGACGGAAATTGGTGAATGTCGTCATTCTCCGGTCAATGACGTCATTAACCAAAATGATTCAATTATGTAGGTAAATGTTGTAAAAACACATATTTTAAACTCAAATATATATGTTTCACCGGTCATTGACATAATTTACCAAAACTTGTGGTAAATGATGATAAATCTCAAATAATACACTGATTGTTTTAATATAGATACTATTTAATAATGATTTATTGTTGGTGGGTGATTCATTTTTGAATATCATTATTTTTGATTTCAATGAAATTAATGAAAGATTAGGTTAATTGAAATGAATAAAATAGGTGAATATTATTATAAATTATTTATTTGTACAGTTTTGTAACTAACAAAGCTTTGTCGCGCACCTAATACCTATCCACTTATCACTGATCGTTCACACCGACGCAAATGGGATGACACCGTATCGGCTCTGTGTAATTACTCCTTACCGTCAGTTAAGTGATCGTATTGCGTCCCATTACGTTTACGTATTGTGATATCTAGTTAATGACGTATAATGTCAGTTATATAAAATTATAAATATTATATTGATCAATTTAAACAAGGAAACATTCCCAGAGAGGAGTGCGTAAAAAACTTTCACTCAAGTTCAAATCACAATTTTTAACCTTCGTTTTTTTCAAGTCAACACTATTTTTTAAGTTGAAACTATTTTTTAAAAGTCAACACAATTTATTCAAGTCAAAACTATTTATTAAAAGTCAACACTATTTTTTAAAATTCGATACAATTCTTCCCATAAATGTATTGAACATCATTCTCCAATTAAACTGGGGATTGAAGTCAATAACCGGGGAATGTCTACATTTACAACATTTACCAATTTTTAGGTAAATTACGTCATTTACCGGGAAATGACGACATTTACCACGTTTACAATGTTTACATCATTCACCGTAACATATACATTACTAGACATGTAAATTGATTTTTTGAAATATTATGAAAAACATAAAAAGGCTCAAATATTGTACTTATTGTAATGTATGATATAATATAAGCAAATGTTAGTTTTTAAAAAATTTTAATTTACCTATTTATGAATTTAAAAAAAATATATAATTATTTTTATACCTTGAGTTCTCTGATAAACGAACATAACATCCCACAACATGTCTCAGTAGTCTAGTAGACGGTTCTCTTTCAAGTGCCAAGACCATTTTCCCCTGAAAATCCAAAGAAAAAACAATAAGAGTTTTTGTTGATTTTGTAGTAAGAATACTTACAAGTATGAGAGCAACATGAGAAAACCGATCATATGTTTGACAAATGTAACTTAGACCATTGTCATCCATAAGTATTTTTTGCAGTATAAATGTTGATAGTGTTTTAGTTAACTCAAAACCAGTTTCCATAATACGTAGACATAACGGAATAATTTCAGTTGTTAGAAGGAAAGTAATAACTTCTTGTTCTTCTGTCTAAAAAATGTAAATATATTTTTTAAATTTAATATATTGTGCTTTCTTAACCCATCATCAGTATTAAAGTATACTAAGTAAAGTAGATAATTTTCAAAATATCTAATATAAACTTAAGTAGGTACCTAAATATTAAATAAACAGTTTTTAAATAATTTAATATTTACCTTCACTAAAGCACCAATCACACCCAAACTTGTAAGTCTTAGATGTTCAAAATTACGACATTTGTTGGCATTATGTAAGAATGGATACATATAAAGAGGTATCTGGGCCTTAAGGAACTGAGAACGAGTATCAGGGTGAGCACCTACACACTGTAAGAGTGCCAGAGCATTGCAAAGGCGTGTCACTTGTTGAAGCGACATGGTCGGAGGATTAACAAACTGATAAGTAGACACTATTTCAAACAATAATGCTGCTATAGTGCCTGTTGTATGCCAAATCATTGGGCCAAGATCATGGATAATATCACGCCTTGAGCTGAAAAATAAAGATGGTACTATATTTTTGTTTATCATTGTTATATCATTGTTAATTTACACTTTAATTATATATCTACATATTTAAACATTGTACAAAATAGTAATATGTTTATATATAGTAACATAAACAGTTTTTTTGAAATTAAAAAATACATACCTATTTAAAAATGAAAATAATAATGTATTCTATAATAACCAAGAGAAGTTAGAAAAATAATAATACAGGAAAACTCATGTTTAAATGAATGTCAATACAATTTTGAGTTATGAAAAGTATTATAAGTAAACAATTAATTACATTATTGAACAACCAAATAATTTTTTATTGTATTTAGGTGGTTGATTTTAACTATTTTATTCTATTGTCTATTCCACGAGAAAATAAGCAGTCTGCCGACCGATTCTCGTGAGGGCCGCGCATCCCCCACCAACTTCCCTGTGTTAATGTGATCACGTGGTTCTCGACACACCAATTGAATCATTCGTGATGCGAGAAAAGTGATTATTCTCTGGTGGAATAGACTATATGTTTATTTTTCTAGTTAATAAATCATATTAAATTGATAGCAACAAAATGTAGGTATGAGATTACTAATGAATTTAAAACCTATCTGAAACCACCATGTTTCAACTAAATAACCAAACTATTTCAAATTATTAAAGATCTCTATAATACATATAGTTTCATTTTTATTGTGTTCTGGGAACATTTATTTACACTTTACATAGGTATACCTAACTTTATCACCATATTTCTTAACTGGTAAAAATACAACTTCCTAACATTCTGTAAAAAACAACATAATTTAAGAAATGTTCAGGCCTAGGTACAGAATTACAATGTTGTACAACACTTTATAGGAATTTCATAAAGCAGTACTTTATTGACATAAGGAATTACCTGAGCTCTGAAAGTGCATTTTCTCTGGTTTCAGTATTGCAGAGTTCGACAATCCATTGAAATACCTTCTCACGATCGTGAGCGGCCTGGCTGAGTTGTTGAGGCATCTGAACTGAATCTAATTTGAACATTTTGAACGATTTTGTTTTGAAACGAGACGATAAATAGCACAAATAGAAAATACGGGACACAAACACAAATATTTACACCGATATGAAAGGTATTAAAAATTAGAATAAAAAGCTTTAAAAAGTAAAGAAAAATTGTGCTAATAAAGATAATAATAAATCCTATTACTAAATAATTATAATAATGTTAATAATGAACAATAATGACGAAAATAATAATAAGTACGATATAGAGAACAGTTGTAAATTAAGTATGTCGATGCAATAATAATATGTTATAATAATAATTAAAAAAAATTCTGTTATACGATCATTAAAATGTAAAATAGAAGAAAGCTTCTTTAAATCCTTGTAAGCTTGTCCGACCAGCGGACGATATTTTCAGACGCGAAAAAAATATTGTAAACAATCATGGATGGCGGATGAATGCGGATGCTGCTGCTCCCGACGCTTTCCGTCACCGCATCACCATGGAGATATTATATAAGCTGGACGGTGACGAGGCCAAGGGAACATGTATAAAAAGTGATAGTGCAACGAACAGCAGAGGTTTGTTATCATTTGTTTGTACCGTTGACGACGCAAACAGTGCGTTTCACCCATCGATATATCGTATTAAATACAACAACATATTGTTCCGCCGTTCGTACGGCTATATTATTTCTGTTTGTCGTGGTGTAAGGGCAAAGGCCAAAGGGCAAGGATCTTGCGATTTGCGAACATAGACGTATTCACTATAACGTTAGTGGAACAAATCTAGTTTACGGCCCAAGCTCGTTTTTTAATTTTAATTTTTCAAAATTTGTGTTTTAAGGCACTGAATTTGAATATGTTTGAAAAATAAGTCACTCTTTTTTATTACGAAAGTTATATCAAAAAAACCGGAAAACAATTGATTTTCTTATACATCGTGGTAACCTCGATAAAAATAATAAAAAATTACTTTTTAGACTAATTTTTTTTTTAAAGATGTGTGTTTTGGTACGCTTAAGCTTTTGAAGTAAATACATTTTCCCTATTGCACTTAGGTACTTTTGATGGTATACCAAAAAAACCGGAAAACAATTGATTTTTAAAAAAATCATTGTACCTATCCTCAGTAAAAATAACCAAAAACTACTTTTTTAAATTTTTTTTTTTTAATGTGTGTTTTGGTACACACATATTTGTGTTTTGGTCAAGTTTTTGATGCAATCACATTTTGCCTATGGTACTTATTTTTTATGGTATACCAAAAACCAGGAAAACAATTAATTTTTTTAAATCATCTTGAAGCAAGAAAAATTCCCATTTAAACAGTGTAAATGTTGGTGTTTTTTTTTAACCGGACCAAACTAATTATCTAATGAATCAACTAATACCTAATAAATTGGGGAAAAAAACAGAAAAATTTTGCAGATCATCCTTTTGCAAAAATCTTCGAAATCGTACAGTTATAAATTAAGTTATTAAAGAAAACGTGCAAACTTTTTAATAAAAATTATAATGAAATCTGGAATCACGGTGGTGATCGCATCTCGCATTGTTTTGCTGACCGGTTACCTCACTCTATTTCGTGTGCAAGACGAATTTCATTATTGCTATATTGTGTTGTGTGATGTTTGATAAACTCATGATGAATTAATAATCTTAATATCTATATTAATTGACTTTTATACAATGGTAATTTATAATCGTCGTGATTAAGTGATTTTTTATTAAAAAAAAATATATCTTTATTTTTTATCTTGTCCGTAGATATGATATTTATATTGTTATCATGATTTTTATAATACGACTATGATAACGAGAGTACGACTCATTTATTTGGTTTTGAACTTATTTTTCCAATTTTCCATATTCTTGTAACTTCATATTGTTATATTTTGTACAATTTTAAAATACTCCGTTTCTATTTTGACGATACTCAAGTTATAATTTATTTTAATGTTCAATTATCATTGAATACAGTGCAACAAAATGTTAGTACCAAATTTATTTAAAACATTAAAATATTCAAATGTTATTAGATTAAGAAAATATCTAAGTACAATAATTGATAGAAACCAAGATGAAGTTCAATTTAAAATTAATTGTAATTCAAACCATTCTGAGAAATTTAACTGTTGTATTAAAAATGGACTCACTTCTAATGCAGTTCTTAGTAATGAATGGATTTTCAAAATGAATATCGGTAAGTAAAACACGTGAAAATCAGTGTATTAAAATTTATTTTTTCATTAGTCCACTATTTATTTGATTTAGGCCTTAGGGAAACAAAATCAAAAATGTTAGAAATTCGATCTCAAGAAGACTTGAAATTTAAATCTGTTTTAATAGTTCTTATTGCTTCACTAAATCAATAAAATTAATACATTGTAAATTAAATATATATTAAATCTTATGTTGTGTGTATGTTAGATAGGAACAGAAAATCACCATATTCAAAACCTGCTATTATTACATTTTTAGTTCAACATTATTTAGACTAGCACATGCACAATAAAATGTATAGATGTACTGATTAAGTACAGGTATTATCGGTGTCAAAAGTAGGTAGTTTAAGCTGCACCAAATGTATACTTCAGTGGCGTTTCTCTCCTGAAAACGGTTAGTGGTAAATTATGGTGGGGTAATGCCTTTACTAATATGAAACATAAGTATTACATATTATAATATTAAGTATATTAATAATACATATTGGTTTAAAATATATTCATGGTACAGAAGACACGCTTTAGGTGGGGCTATTACAACAATTCAAAATTGGAGGTGAGTAAAAATACACTTCTACACCATTGGGTTATTTGGTTATTTGATAAATATTCAAATAATGTTAAGGTTGTGTGTACCTACACTGTACATAATGCAATAATATTATAAAAAAATTGTTTTTAATGATTTTAATTGTTTTTTTTTTTCAGATAATTTAAATAATGGACTGAAATTACTCAAAAGATGGAATCCTAAAAAAATGGATGATTTGTTTGTACTTCTTCAAATGCCTATGACAAAACTTGTATATCTTACAAAAAAAACCCATTTAGAATCAACAATTGTGCCACATGGAAATAGAGTCTATTATTTTGCCTCTACTTTTGAGGTTGGAATTTATACATTTTATACTGATTCATAATTCATATTCAAACTACACTACCTATATTATATATTAGCAAAATAATTTAGTTTTACTTTTAGGTTCTGAGCCGAGCAATGAATGTATTGACTTTACAATGGTGTTTTTATTTTTGTGCCTGAAGACACTTTTAAAGTAAAAAAATGCTATAAAGTACATTCCAGTATTCTTAAATATAATCGGGAAAAATAAAATTAAAAAAATGTAAATATGGGAGTTTTTACTCAAAAAACCAGTAATGTCAATTAATAATTTTGCTTGGTGAAAATCCTTGAAAATATATACAAGATTCCTCATAAATTGTTTAAATACCAATTGTTATATCAAAAAGGCATAAGCTCAATATTCTTTTATATGCTTTTTATAGTTAGAATTTTGTTCACATTTATCTAACTCATAAAATTTTTAAAAATTTTCAATTTTTAAGACTAAGTTTTGAGAGCTCATAATATGTGTCTTATATGGTGATATGATACAAAATATTATTTAATATACTAAAATTAAAAAAAAAATTGTCATATTTATTAATTTTTGTATTTTAATTAAACTTAAAATTTAATTAATTTTCTTTTTATACTTTTTAAATTTGAACCAAAAAAATACCTAACCTCTATTTTGAATGTATAATGTATATGAATGAATCAGAATCATATTTTATAACAACAACTAAAAATCAGTTATGAACACTAATCTGTATTTTTAGAAAAATCCTCAAGAAGTATGTTACCACTTGATGCATTACAAATTTTTATTCACACGGAACTTCACAACTCTTCACCACATCTATCAAATTTTAATTGGTAATTTATTTATTTTATTCAATGTAAAATAAAAATAAAATGTTAAATTATACTTTTTAGTATATTAAGTTATATAGATTATGATGTAATTAGAAGTGTTAATATTTTTAATCAAAAATATAAGTACCTACTTAACTACTAAAACTCATAGCAATTTAAAAATATTATTTTTATTTGTTAATTTGTAATTAAATTCCTGGTTTTAATTAAATAATATATTTTTTTAAGAAAATAATGTTGATAAGAATGATATTTGGAAAGATACTTGGATATTTATGTACAGCATTGATCAAATTAAACACAGAATTTCTCTTACTAAAACAGCAAATTTAACAATTAAGCCCTGGATGTTACGGTGTAAAACTGAAGTATATGAAAGGTATAAATTAACATTGATTAATATAGAATTTAGTTAATCCAATATAATGATTTTTTAGGACTGTAGAGATAAAACAAGAAAATAGAGTTGTTCTCAATAAAGACTCTACTGCACAATATTTAGCTAAAAGACTGAAAGTACCAGAAAAAACTATTCGCTATATTAGTTCAAAATATCCTACAACATTGAGAGTTAGTCCTACTAAATTGAAAGAAATATTAGATTTTCTTCTCAAAGAAGGATATAGACCTTCACACATACTGAGTACTCCACGTGTATTTACTCACAGTATTTCTACTCTACAGGTCAGCTTTTAAATACTTGTTAAAATGATTTAATAATAAATTAATTTATATTTATATTTAATTTATAGGAACGATTAACTGAGTTGAGAGATCTTGGTGGTGAACCTACTTTGACTGCCTTATGTAAAAACAAAACAACTTATCAAGAATTAGTTAATAAATTAATTTTGAAAAACACTAAAGGATATATTTAAGGAATTATTATACTATTATACCTAATAATTAAGTAATAAGTAATAATGGATATTTCCATTAACATCATTTTTAATACAATTTGTCATGTTAAACAACAAATGATACTTAAAGAATTAAACACTGTTAAGTTGAGATGATTGTTATTAACACAATGTTGAACTAATTATATTTTGTCCTATAAAATTCAAAACCATTTATTTATTAACACAAGTAATTAGTACATTTTAAGCCACTTATTATAATAATGGTATAAACTAACATTTTATGTTATAATAAAATATTCAAAACCTATCTTGAAATATATAGGTAACATAGAATGTATGTTATAAAAAAAAAAACCTTAAAAATGCTGTATAAAGAAAATATAAGTAATGGAACATTATAATTAAATAAAAATAAGGTACCTACTTGACATTTTTTTTTAATCTATTTATAATACTTATATGTAGTATATATATATATTATCATAATCGTATAATTTATTATCAGTAGACTGTTAAAATTTAAAAACAAGCAAAAATGACAAACATAGGTAGCTTCTTTGTGTATTTCACTAATTTCAATGTTGCGTTACCCTTGTCTTTTCATCTTCATGACAAATTAAATAGGTATGTCAGCAATATACCAGTTTTGAAACAAATCGTGCAGCCACCCTCCACCCAGCCGGATTCTGTGACATAGACATTTATCCGTTTCTCATTGGTCCAGCGGTATAGCTGAAGACTCCACCACCACTCCACCTCTCAACCTGTTGGATAAATGCTTTCCTACAGACATTCATATCACAAGTTGCTGACATACCTATTTAATTTGTCTTAATCTTGATTCATTATATTATAATAATGTAGTTGCATAAGTTTAAAGTGTTCTAGTAAAACAGATGGTATAAAATATAAATATAACATGGAATTGAAGAATAAATCCCCGACCTTATTTTTTAACTTTTAATTTAAAACAATATTTCACAAAACAAAATAAATTATTTAAAATGATAAATACATTTTGATAAATATAGATTATGTGATATAAACATTAAAAAAATTGTCAAAAATAACTAAAGAATTAGAATAATGTTAAATGCAATTTAATAGCTGCAATTAAGCCCCCCCCCCTAAAATGTTTTTTATTTTATTCTATATTTAACATTACAAGTACATAAACTCAATAAAACTATTTTAACCTTAAGGGCTTAAACACATATTGCCATATTGTATCTATTGGTAATTGGTATATAATATTATGAATATGCACTATAATTAATAGGGTAATAATTACTTACTGACTACTGTCGATAAAATATGTATAATTTTCTTAAAGAATATATGAATACATAAAATACAACAATTCTTTTATTTTATAAAATTTATATTTAAAATAAAAGCTGCCATTTACATTTTTATAATATGTACTATTTGTATCTGTATTTGTATGTTTAAATACATATTTATCACTTTTATATTACACAAATTAACCAAAACATTTAGTATTATTTATTTAACGTAGGTAACTGCTAACTAGTTACAGAATTTTCACTTTGAATTAAGGAAGAAGTATTTAACAAAATATCCTTAAATATTTTATGATATTAAATTAATATAAATATAATTTCAATAAATTGTATATGAAATATGAAATATGAATAGTAAATATATGATATGAAATTAATTATTCACTATATTTAGGTACCATTTTTGATCTTTTTCTTGGGAAATGGAGATTTTTTCAGATAAGCTAACATTTTTCTCAGCATTTGTATTAGTATTTTTCAGCAGCCAAGCAGGTACAACAATTAGTACCAAAATAATACGAAAAATGTATACCAAAATAAATTTAATTTTCTCAATAATACAATATTACCTTAATAATTAATTTAAAAATTAACTTACAGATCAAATATAAATTATTTTATTTTGTCAAAATTGTAGTTTTAATATAATATAAATCAGTAATATATTTTAAGGGCTATTTTAAACTTAATGAATACTAAATATGTGTACTAAACAATTATAAGAATTTAAAACAAAAACAGACACTTACTTTTGACTTTTTCGATTTTTTTACAATAAATTTATCCATTTTAGCAAGCTGTCGAAACATTTTTAATTTTGAATCGTTCGCGGATAAGAAATAAATACAAGTATCAAAAATAAATGCATGTATAAAAGAAACAAATAACAATAGTATAATAACAGAAAACAGGTTAATAACAAAACTATAAATAAATGTGGAAAGGATATACTATTATAATAACTCCAGTGCTTCAAAACAAAGTGAAACATTGGTTCTCAAAATATAAATTGGTTAATTCATTATTATATTGATATTTCAATTTTTGGAAAACTGAAATTGTGATTCTTTGGAGTCGCAAAAAGATACTTTGGCGACCTTATGATATTTTCAGAGGTCGCAAGTGCGAACCCGTGCGCCCCTGTTTACGCCCCAGTTTACGCCACTGCTAAGTACATACCTCGTAACTACTAACAAATATATATTTTTTTTAAATATGTTTTGTATACTATGTATTGCAGTATATCACCAACACAAACATCAAAAAAAAGAAAATTTTCATCGAAGTATCCTAGGTATTTTAATGATTTAACCATTAAACATTTTTCTACACCAAATAGAGCTAAAATACATCTAGTATTTGCCAAAAAGAAGTACATGGCCGCCAGAAAGAAACTGAAAAAGGTTCAACAACAAAACCGAACATTGGCAGAAAAATTAAAATGTATAAATATAATATTTCAAAACAAAACAAGAGGATTCTGAAGAAGCTGGTACAAAATAATTGCCAGTTGACACAAGTAATTCACTTTGTACTTACTAGTTACTACTTAGTATAAGATCTATGGTCCGATCCATGAATATATTATTATCCATGTTGATAATCGTAAAACGGCTGTCTAGTTTAGTTATATATATTTGTGGGTTTACATATTTAAAACTTTAAAGTTTTAGCTATGATTATAAATTTTACCAACTTCAAATTTTATTTAAAATCAATGTTAAATTAATTATAATTTAAAGCTTAGAGGACGCTACATATGCATGCGTGTCTCCAATATTTTACAGCTATTCCTAAGTGATATCAAGACAACATGAAAATGTAATCCTACCAATTGATCAGTTGTTCCGGCTTTATTAGGGAAATATTAAATATTACATATGAATATTATTAAAGGATTTTATTACATTTAAATAGTTCAAATTTTTATTGACATTTACCTAACTTAAAATAATGCATTTTCTTCACAAACATTTTAAAATAGATATAAAGATTCCAATATTTTTATTTTCTGGCTTTTAATGCTGCAAACTCTTGTATTACTTCTTCCAAGTATAATTTGTTTAAAACGACCTTTTCAATTGAAAAAGTGCCAGACCAACTAAACAAATTTGACATATTTGGAACCACAAGTAGTTTTTTATAATTTTAGATTAAATACCTGCATCTATAACTTGATTAAAAAAATTAACTTTAAAGTACATTTCTGGATCGTTTATAGATTTGTCTTGAGTTTGTAAGCAAAAGTAGTCGCCTTATATCTCAATCTTTGTGAATTATCAATTTGTCATCAATTCAAATTTTTTTAGCAACTTCTCTTGCTGAGTTTAATTTTTATTTTAGGTTAATGTTTTCGTGTTAGCTTAGGGAGCAACTTTATATTATCCAAAACACTAGGACTTGCCCATTGACTTGTCGAAGGTATGATTTTGGAGCAGCAATTGCTCCTTCAAAATTGTTGGTTGGTGAGCCTTCACACAAAATACCTAGCCACCTAGGTGACTGTAGGTATATCGTAGAAATATCAAGTGGGTACCTTGTACACATTTTTGCTCCTCACCAAAAATGAGTTCAACACTCCACTGGGCCTGCCTACCACCAAGGAAATGCCACCTTTTACATACCCATATATTAATATAACTTTTTTACTCATACTTACGATGTTTATAATATTAAACTACTTATTTAAATTCATAATTCAATAATAATATATTAAAATATATAAATTAAAATTAAGTTTTACATTGTACTATTTTATAAATAAATTTAAATTAAGTAATTAATCTTTATTAAATCACAATAATTATTAAATATAGACTATAGTAATATATTCCCTGTAATTTTATAATTCAAAATACAGCAGTATTCATTACTTTTCCATTTTTGTTTTTATCAAATTATTTATTACATATTTTTAGACTCTGAGTGGAACGATGAATGTATTGATTTTACAATGATGTGTGTTTTTTTATTTATTTTTTATTTTTAATTTTTTTTTGTGTCCATGTACACGATAAGTAATCGAAATAATGCTTCGATTTTCAACTTCAGTATCTTGCTCGTTTGGAAATTGAATATTGTTGGTGCATTGGGGAGGTCAAAATTTAAAATTCCCAGTAATTTTCAAAAGCGCCAAGAAAAACAAAAGAAAAATAAAGGAAAAACGGGAATTTTTACGCAAAAATCCAAGATTTTAAAATTTAATACAAGATTCCTTGTAAGATTATCTACCTTTATTAAAAAACAAAATGTCTATAAGAAGGTCAAATTAAATTTTTATGAGCGTTTGAAATTCAAATTTTTACAACATTGGATATTCACTCGATTTCTCATTAGCGATTCTTTTATTTTGTTGTAATTCAAAAACGAATAACTGTAGATACTAGATACATGAAAATTTCACTGAAAGTTTATTTTATCAATTTTTATAATTGTTTTAAATTTTCAAAATATTTTGACTGGTTTTGAGCTGTTTACGAACAATTTCATATTTCAATTTTTTATTTTTTTATTCTATGAATATCAATGAGTTTTATCTGTTGGGCCGAAAACTATAAAAATTTAACACAAGGCTCCTGATATATTGTTACAATAGCAGTTGAAAAATATTAAAAATACATAGGCACAATTTCTTTTATAAGCATTTAAAGAACGAATTTTGACAAAATTTATCAAATTTAAAATTGAATAATTATTTTGTAGTTAAAAATG